CTGACCACCCTTTCCAGGGAGAAATTCCTCCTGATGTCCCACCTGACCCTCCCCTGGCACAGCTGGAGGCCGTTCCCTCTCCTCCTGTCCCTTGTTCCCTGGGAGCAGAGCCCGACCCCCCCCGGCTCCCCCCTCCTGTCAGGGGGTTGCAGAGCCAGAAGGTCCCCCCTGAGCCTCCTTTGCTCCAGGCTGAGCCCCCCCAGCTCCCTCAGCCCCTCCTGCTGCTCCAGCCCCTTCCCAGCTCTGTTCCCTTCCCTGCACACGCTCCAGCCCCTTTGGGTCCTTCCTGAGCTGAACTGGACACAGCTGATGCAAAGAAGAGGCAAAACACACCCAAGGACTGACCCTCAGCCACAGAGGGTTTAAATCCACACAGGAGGAGTTTCCCAGCACTCCCACAGCTGTTTTACTGCAGAACCCCTGAGCCCCGGGGCAGCCCCGGCCCCATGTGTGGTCTGTGCCCCGAGTGATGGTGCCACGCTGGCTCGTGGCCGTGGAGAGCTGGGCACCAGTGGGACCCCAGCTGCACCATCACCTCCCTCCCTGGGGAGCCCAGTCCTTCACCTCCTGCCTCCAGCCCCACAGAGCTCCCGCTGAGGAGGCAGCACCCCCGGGAGTTCACCCGGAGCGGGGCCAACCCCACGGAACTGCACCAAGGCTGGAACATCGGCTTTGAAAACTCCCCACGGCTTTCCAGAGGGATGATGAAAACAAGGCTGGTTTCTCTTGCTGGGGGCAAGGCTTTCGTGCAGCTTTGTCAAGGCCAAGCCCCTCTGCCTCAGGACTGACAGGGAGGTTCCTCCTCCAGCCTCCCACCACCCAGGGACCACATCTGACAGCACCTCCCACCCGGCACAGCCACCCCGGGCAGGGCACCAGGGGCTCTCCCCAGTCTCCCCTTCCTCCCTTGGGCTGCTGGGTTTGTTGACACAACACCATCAAAGACACCTTCCCCTCAGCTCACAAAGGGAAACCTGATCCTCGAACTCCCACTCCAAGCAGGGAGAGGAGCTGGGGAGGAGCTGAGCCCAGAGGAACCAGTGGGGAGGGTGTTAGCACACTCACTGCAGTGGGACAGGGTGCTGGCACACTCACTGCAGCAGGAGAAGGTGCTGGCACACTCACTGCAGCAGGAGAAGGTGCTGGCACACTCACTGCAGCAGGAGAAGGTGCTGGCACACTCACTGCAGCAGATCAGGGTGCTGGCACACTCACTGCAGCAGGAGAAGGTGCTGGCACACTCACTGCAGCAGGAGAAGGTGCTGGCACACTCACTGCAGCAGGAGAAGGTGCTGGCACACTCACTCACTGCCGGCTGTTCCGACCACCCAGGAGGTTTGAAGCACAAACCTTCAGGCTGAAGGTCTCTGCTTTTAAGCCTTCCAGGAGCTGTCATGGCACAGAGCTGGAAGGGGAATCCCCAGGGGTGTTGGACAGACCTGTGTGGAAACAGGACAAACCTTCCCTGCCACCAGGGGATCCAGGGCTGGATCCCAGCTCAGCCAAACACAGGGATCAGCACCCTCCTGGCAAAGGCCTCCCCACAGACCCTGCAGCTCCCGTGGCACTGAGGCACAGAATCCCAGGATGGGTTGGCTTGGAAGGGACCTTAAAGCCCATCCAGTGCCACCCCTGCCATGGGCAGGGACACCTTCCACTGTCCCAGGTTGCTCCAAGCCCCGTCCAACCTGGCCTTGGACACTTCCAGGGATGGGGCAGCCACAGCTTCTCTGGGCAACCTGTGCCAGGGCCTCCCCACCCTCCCAGGGAAGGATTTCTTCCCAATCTCCCATCTAATCCTGTCCTATGGCAGTGGGAAGCCATTCCCTTGTCCTGTCAGTCCATCCCTTGTCCCAAGTCCTCCTCCAGCTCCTTGGAGCCTGTTCAGGTATTGAAAGTCCTGGGAGTCTCCGTTTCAAATCGATTTTGGTTTCTTTCCTGGCTGTTTCAGCTCATTTTTGGGGAGCACCAGAGACTATCACCACTGAAACCTTGTGGGGACTAACCCTTGCCTCCAGCTGGATCAACAGATTCCAGCATAAACCACCCCCAGCCCTCCATCAGGATCTCCTGGGCAGGGATGGGCTCCAATTCCAACAACTGCCCAGGTTAATTAGGCAAATGAAGGCAAAAAGCACCCCCAGCACATGGAGAAAGGCACCTCCTCCCAGGGACCACCTACCCTGGGATAACTCTGCAGCTTCCCACACAAAATGCTCTGGCAGGACTCGGCTGTGGGAGTGGAAGGGGTGGGAAGCAGCTCCAGAGGAGCCTGGAGAGCTCGAGGGAGAAGAGCTGGGAGGCACCTTCCTAAAGCAGGGATCCTGCTGCCTGACCCCCTCCTTCCCAGAGCATCCAGCCCCACCAAAAGCTCTCCATAACAGCCAGGCAGTGACTCCCTGGAGCTGCTCCAGCCTTCTCAGTCACGAGTCAGGGCCATTGGTTCAGATCCAAGCAAAAAAATTACTTTGAAACCTCAAAAATTAGGGGGTTTTGATGTAATAATCTCCCTCCTCCGTCTCTGAGACTAAAGAAACCCAGGCCAATTATGTCTTTGAAGGCTAAATATTTACTGCCAGCTGAAGCAGAGCAGCTCAGGCTGGAGATGAATTATCCAGCTCTGATGTCATGGAATGCCCGGGAGCCAGAAAACCCCAACGAAAACAGGGAGGAACAAACAACAACAACAACAACAAAAAGGGTGTTTTCTCCTGGAAAAGCCTCTCAGAGAGGGGAAGGGGTGAAACTGTTCCAGCTCAGCTGAGACACCACACTCCTATTCCAAAGCACTCATTAGATAAGATACTTAATGAGGGAACATGTGGAGTGTGACGGAACCTCTCCAAGGGAAAACTGGCCTTGGGAAAGAGCTGGAGCCTCACTCTGGAGTAAAATCCTAGAGAGTCCACAGGGCAGGTGTGGGAACTCCTCCTCCACCTCCACCAGCAATTAAGGACCCACATAATGAGTGTTCATCAATCACTGTCAGCTCTTGTTTTACAATCAAACCCCTCCCGCCTCATTTCCATCCCAATCCCGGATTTCAAAGCTCTCCCTTTTGCCCCCTCCAGTCACTATTCTTTCCCAGGCAGCCGGTGCCAACCCTCTGGTTAAGGGCATCCAAACCCAAGCAGGATCGAGATCCAACCCCAGGCACACGGTGGGGTGACTCATCCCTCTGGAAGCCCGGGAGCAGGAGCGTTCCGGGGCCGGAGTTTCAGTTGCGATCCCATCTCGCTCATGACAACACGCAGAAATATTTCCTCGGGGGATCTTCCCGTGGGACTTAACTCTGACACGTATTCCCACAGGAGCTGTTCCTTCAGGAGCGTGCTTTGCCAGGGAGGCAGTGGGAACGTGACTCTGGGAAGCCCCGAGTGCCCGAGTCGTGCCCCGCATTCAGCCCGCGGAAGGACCCGCCGGGCTGCAGGAACGGGAGGGCTGGCTCGGAGCAGAGGTCTGCAGCTCCCAGCATCCTGTTTATGCTGCTCCTCTCCACCCCTGGGCAGCGGGGGAACGCTCCAGCCCGGGATGGAGGGTCAGCAGGACCCAGTTTCCACACCCGTGGGAAGGCTGAGCTTTGTTTTCTCCCTCCTTAGCTCTCCCCCGTGGGGATCACACAGGGCTGTGCAGGGCAAAAATCAGAGCAAAATCCTGTTCTGGGGGGAAAAACAAAGATCATTTTCTTTCCCCCCTGGGTTTGGATGGGAGAAAAGCAGCCAGGCTGCCCCAACTCCATAAAACCTGGGGTATCCCTGACCAGAAGAACCTTCCCAGAGGGTTATCCCCTCATGCAGAGCTGCTCCTGGCAGCGCAGTGTGGGTTGATCCAAGCACCAAGGGATGTGTGAACAGTTCAGTGGGACAGCAGGAGGTCCCAAGGAACACCACGACACAGGAACATCTGGATTTTGCAGTGTCAGAGGAGCAAACAGAGCCGAGGAAGCCCCAAGGAGCCTGTGGAGAAGGGCCAGGCTGGGCTGGTGCTGAGCTCCTTCCTCCCCCCTGCTCTTGGTTAAACACCAAGCCTTTGCCAAACCCCCTGGTTTAACCCTTCCTTCCCCCCTGCCCCAAGAGCTTCCCCAGTGCTTTGCTTTTTTCCCCATTATTTCAGTTGAATTCAGAAGCACCAGGAACACGAGTGTGCCCTGGGGGACACTCGGAGCACAAAGACCAGGGGTGGAGATGGTTTGGGGGGTTTCCCTGCCTGCTGAGGGCACAGGGACTGCAGGGATGGACCTGCTTTCCCACAGCCCCCCTCGCTCAGCTCGTCTCCTCCACCCCTCAAACGGCTCCTACTGGAGGGAGGAAGGAAAACCTCAGCTTTGGGACAAAAACTCTCATCATGGAATCACAGGATAGGACCTTAAGGCTCATCCAGTTCCACACCTTCCACTAGCCCAGGCTGCTCCAACCTAGCCTTGAACACTTCCAGGGATGGGGCAGCCACAGCTTCTTTGGGCAACCTGTGTCAGGGCCTCCCCACCCTCCCAGGGAAGGATTTATTCCCAATAACCCACCTGAATTTCCCCTCTTTTAGTTTAAAACCATTCCCCCTCGTCCTGTCACTCCAGGCCCTTGTCCAAAGTCCCTCTCCAGCTCTCTTGGAGCCCCTTTAGGCACTGGAAGGGGCTCTGAGGCATCCCTGGAACCTTCTCTCTCCAGGCTCAACAATCCCAACTCTCTTGACCTTTTCCAGGCTGAACAATCCCAAGTCTCAGTCTTCTCCCTCAGCCTTCTCCAGGCTGAACAATCCCAGTTTTCTCAACCTTATCAACCTGGGCTCTCACAGCTGAACAAGTGTCCCTCATCCTGGGACAGGAACCAGCACCTGCTCCAGAGAAAACCAACCCAACACGGTGCTGCAAACACACGGATATGCACAGAACCCCTTGTTTTGCCAGGATATAACCCAAACCTCAGTCAGACAGTGACAAAAACCCCATGAAAACACTAAACCCGAGCAGCCAGGTGAGGGGCTGAGGTCCTGGCACGTCTCACCTGATGCCAGGGGCCGGATCCACTCCTTGCTGTTGAGGTCGAGTCTCCAGAGGTCGTTGAAGGCGGCGTTGCAGCTGCTCTGGGTGCAGCCCCCGAACACGTACATGGACTGGTTGGGGTCGTAGTAACACGCACCTGGAATGGTAAAGGGGGCTGTGAGCACAGCTGGAGCAGCAAACAGGGCTGTGAGCACAGCTGGAATGGCAAAGGGGGCTGTGAGCACAGCTGGAGCAGCAAACAGGGCTGTGAGCACAGCTGGAACAGCAAGCACAGCCATCAGCACAGCTGGCACTGCCCTGCTCTGGGGGGTGTTGGTGTCCCAGGGTTTGGCAGAGGGGGTTTAGGGGGTGGGTTGTGAGAAGCTGCCAGAAGCTTCCCCCATTCCCCCAATTCCAGCTGCTCCAGGACGGACCCGCCGCTGGCCAAGGCTGAGCCCAGCAGGGATGGTGGGAACCCCTCTGGGATAACACAGCTAAGGAGGAAAAGGTTCTTGTGCAGATGGAATCGAGTGCAGAGAGGAGAGGAACAGGAATGTGTGAGAGGAACAGCTCTGCAGAGCCCAGGGCAGGGCAGGAGCAGGGGCAGGAGCTGCTCCAGGGGCCAGAGCTGGGATTCTCCTGAGATTCCATGGGGAAGCCCAGGGAGAGGCAGCTGAGCCCCTGCAGCCCAGAGAGAGCCAGGATGGATCATGGATCCACCTGCAGCCCAGGATGGATCATGGATCCACCTGCAGCCCAGGATGGATCATGGATCCACCTGCAGCCCAGGATGGATCATGGATCCACCTGCAGCCCAGGATGGATCATGGATCCACCTGCAGCCTGGGGAGGAGCCCACAGGGAGCAGGGGGATGCCCAGGACAGGCTGTGACCCCGTGGGAAGCCCAGGCTGGAGCAGGGTCCTGGCAGGATCCTTGGATCCCTGGGAAGAGGTTTCCTGGAGGGACTTGTGGGGACCCGTGTTGGAGCAGTTCCTGAAGGACTGACCCCATGGAAAAGTGACTCCCGTGGCAGCAGCTCCTGGAGAACTGTTGCCATGGGATGGACTCAGGCTGGAGGAGTCCCCGGGGAACTGTCTCCGTGGGAAGGACCCCAGGGAGCAGGGGAAGGGCTCCGACTGCTCTCCCTGAGCAGGGGCAGGAACAACGTGGGATGGACCGACCCGACCCCATTCCCGAATCCCTGCGCCGCCGGAGGGAGGAGGGAGAGCTGGGGAAGGAGGGAGGGGGGGGAAGGGGTTTTTAGGGTGGGTTTCACTTCTCATTCTCCTGCTCTGCTCTTGTCAGCAACAATCCAATTCCTGTCCCCAGTCAGGGTCTGGTTCCCAGGAGGTGATGGGGGAGGGATCTCTCCCACTCCTGATCCCGGCCCAGGAACCTTGGATGTGTTTTGTCTCCCTGTCCAGCTGCAGAGGTTTGGAGGTGCCTGTTCCCAGCAGGGTCACCCCAGGGTGACACCCCAACATCACTGGCTTTTCCTCCTGGATTCCACCCAGGACAAAAGCAGCCGGGCTGCCCTGACTCCATAAACCCAGGGCTGGCTCAGGGCTCTCCCTGACCAGGAGAAAGCCAGAAGAACCTTCCAAGAGGATTATCCCCTCAAGCAGAGCTGCTCCTGAAGAGCAGAGAAAAGTGCCTTAGAAGCTTGTAATTAATTAGATTAGCTCTGATTAAGGTTCTCAACTCACTGACCCTCCCTAAGCTGCTTCATACAGTTTATAGGGTCACTGAATCACACCCCAGGCCCTGTTGGTTTATTCTCCTTTGCCAGGGCCTCCCCACCCTCTCAGGGAAGGATTTATTCCCAATATCCCATCTAAATTTCCCCTCTTTTAGTTTAAAACCATTCCCCCTTGCTCTGTCCCTCCATCCCTTGTCCAAAGTCCCTCTGTAGCTTTCCTGGAGCCCCTTTAGGCTTCTTTCCTGGAGCCTTCTCTCTTCCAGGCTGGACACCCCCATCTGTCACCCTGTCTCCTCCTATCTCCAGATCTATCCATACATCCATCTCCTCATTCCCTAAAATACCATTTCCCTGCCCCTTGCAGTGCAGGGACCAAGCACAGCCAAAAATCAGCCAAAAACTGAGGCAGGCTGGGTGCTGGGAGGAGCTGCAGCTCTGCTGGAAAAGCAGCCCATCCTGTAAAACAAACATTCCAGCTTTTCCCACTCCCTCCAGACCGGTTTGTGAACCCATTAATTGCTTTAATTACTCCTCCCAGAGGTGCAGAACCCCAGACTGAGTGGAACCCAAACGAATCAATTGAGCGTTTCTGATCAGTCACTCCCCCAGCAGAGGATCGATATTCCTGGCACAGCATTCCCGGGCTGCATTCCTGAGCCTCCTGACAGGCTTTGCCGACTCTGGGCAGTGATGTCACCCTGTGAGTCACTGCCCTGCTATGAACTGGCAGGTTCTGACCTCGGGGACGGGAAAGAATCCGGTGGTTGCTGCAAACATTGACCTGTTTTTTAAAAAACCCCAGATACAGAGCATTTCTACCCCTAAACCTGTGCACTGAGATCTAAGAAATCAGCATTACTGATGTTTCCTGTCCTGCAGCTTCAATCCAATCCTTTGGAAAAGCCACAGCTCATCCATAGTCATCAGCTGTGTGATCCCTGCTCCCTGCCCTCGGCAGGACCTTCCGCTCCTTATTCCTTAGCAAACAGTTTTTCTGGATCCCTTCAGGATGGAGAGCAGACACAGTGACCTCTAACTGCTTAAAATTCCCTCCCTGGTCCTTTGATGCTCCCAGGATAGTTCTAACAATTCTTGGAAGAGACACAGAGCCCCTTTGACGGCACCGCTGGCTTCCAGCGGCTCGTGCCTGGGCCATGACGTCTTCCCACAAAAAGTGGCAATCACTCATCCCTAAAAAATGGCTTTGGAGCCCTCCCTCTCCAAATGTCCTGTTTCCTTCACCTCAGCTCACCACACCTTGGGATTCCAGGCGGGAGTTCAGAGATTCACTCCGAACTGCTGGAATGAATGGTTTGTGGCTGGGGTTTAACGCTGGAATCCACCCCCAAACAGGGAACGTGCCCCAGGGAAAGCAGGGGCTGAGGGTCTGGGGGGCTGCTCCCAACCCCAGGCCTTTCAGTCAGCAAACAAGTGAGTCCAGACCAGCTGTGGGCACACCAAGGGCATCAATAACCCTCCAGAGGGGCCGAGCACAGCCCGGCTGTGGCACGGAGCAAGGCTGACATGGAGAGAGGCTGACACGGATGCCACGCTCCAGGGGCACTGCATTTAGGGACACAGCTCGCTTGGGGTCAAGTGCAACAGCAGCACACTTGGAGCAAGCCCATGATGGGCAGCAGGAGAAATTAAAGGAGCAATTCTGAGCCTTTTCCAGGGAATTTCTACCTGCCCTGAGCACTCCCCAGTACAAAACCGCTGCTCAGACTGGGGGGAAATAGTGGAAATCTTGAAGTCATTAATAAGAACTTCACTAACATGGCTGCTTAAAAATGAGGGATGAACCATGGTGCCTTTTTTATCCTTCAGGAAGACAAGGAATTCTCGGAGGAGCACAGTGACTTCACCACAGTTTCCCACAGTGTCTCCTGGACTTGTCTTGGCAGGAGGCTGAGTGAGGGTTGCTTCATAAATTATTGCTTGGGAAGATGAAAATGTGATGCCTGATTGCTCTTGGAATTGCAGGGCTTGCTCCAGTGTTTGCTTTTCCTTAGAAAAATGGAATTTGCTCCATGACAGAGCTGCCTCCCCGGGGGCTCAGACCCAGCGCCAGAGCCATGGGACAGAAATCTGGTCATGTTTTTTGGCAGCTCGATGCCACTGCACTACAAAGAATAAGCTTTATTTCAGTATCTTTCCCTCAAAGATACTTTAAGTATCTTTTCCCTTTTTGTTCCCTTCCAGAAACTCGGAAGCAGGGGAAGAATTCAGCCCCACGTTCAGCAGCGCTGCCAACTGAATTGCTCGCTCCCACCCCCAAACGCTCCAGCAGCTCCAGTTCACTCGGAATCCAGCACAGTCAGCCCCTTCCCAGATTTCCTCACAGATGTACAGGATCTGTGCAAGCAGCTGGTGAACACCCCTGAGTGCTGCACTTCCCTAAACTCAGACGGGAATGACTCGAGTCCAGTGGCAAAGGGGACACAAAGCTCAGGCTCTGATCCCGGGGCACCGCTGGGACCCTCCGGACAAGGAGGACCCGGAGGGGCTGGAGCGTGTGCAGGGAAGGGAACGGAGCTGGGAAGGGGCTGGAGCAGCAGAAGCGGCTGAGGGAGCTGGGGGGGCTCAGCCTGGAGAAAAGGAGGCTCAGGGGGGACCTTCTGGCTCTGCAACCCCCTGACAGGAGGGGGGAGCCGGGGGGGGGTCGGGCTCTGCTCCCAGGGAACAAGGGCCAGGAGGAGAGGGAACGGCCTCCAGCTGTGCCAGGGGAGGTTTAGATTGGATATTGGGAAAATTCCTTCCTGGAAAGGGTGGTCAGGCACTGGCACAGCTGCCCAGGCAGGTGGTGGAGTCCCCACCCCTGGAAGTGCTCAGAAAACGTGTGGATGTGGCACCTGGGGACACGTTTGGGGGTGACCTCGTTAACAGCTGACTGAGATCTTCGAGGGCTTTTCCAACCTTAATCCTAAGAAGGGGAGCTGCAGAAAGATCCCTGTACATTAAACAGGCACAAACAGAGAGCCCCAATCCCAGCCCAGCTCCACCAACACTTCCTGGGATCAGCAGGCCCACAGCCACAACCAGCAGCTCCCAAATCCCTGTTCTTGTGTAAAGTGCTGGAATTCCCACAGTGACGGGCACGTGTGGCACTGCCACATCCCGAGGGATGCAGTGGGAACCCCCTGGATGCAGTTTCCCCCCCAAAGGAGGGGACAGAGCTGTCCCCAGCAGGTACTCACTGTGTGAGAAGCGCTGGGTGATGGGGGTGCCGGGATAGGGATAAGTGCGACTCTCCCACTGGATGTTCCCTTCTTGCACTGCCTTGATGAACCCGTGGTAACACTGATGGGCCACACCTGGGGAGGAAAGCACATTGTCAGCAAAGTGTGGGACATGGCAGGGACAAACTGTGCCTGCACAGCCCCAGCAGCCCCAGAGAAGCCCTGCACTGAGGGGACAAACACGCCGGGAACTGGAGGAGGAGAGGGAATAAAGGAAAGGGACTCTGGAAACGTGGAGATCAGCAACACTCACTGACCCAGGTCATGACATCCCCGGAGCTCCAGCTTGGGAAGCAGAGCCTTGGTGAAAGGCAGGAAGCCCATGGGATGCTCTGCAGAGCTCCCAGCCTGCTCTGCCGCCCCACAATCCTGGTGCTCCCTCATCCCACCCCGAGGAGCAGCCTCCCTTCCCTTCAGGAGCCTCAGGGGACAAAAGATAATCAGGTTTTGGACTGTGGATGCACATTATGTCCAGGGAATGCTCATTTCCACACGCCACAAAAAGTCTTCTCTCCAAACTCTGGCAGAGGAGCTGCATCCTCACCTGGGAAAAAACATTCCAGGGGTGGGGAAGGACCAGCTCTGGCTGGGCTGGGACAGAAAGGGCTTGAATTGCACTTGGCAATCAGGAGCTCCATGGGAATTCAGGTCTCCAACCTACTCCAGACTCCCCCTCATCCTTTGGAGCTGCTCATCCCACGTGCCAGCAGCTCCCCGGGAGCACCGGGGGGCCTTCAGGGAGATACTCAGACTTCCAGGCTTATTCTCTCCCCCACTTCAAATAAAACTCCTCTCCCATCAGACAGGTTTGATAATAAGCCTGACGCTGTTCTCCTTGAAAAAGATTGGTGAGGAGACATCAGGGACAAAAATCAGCATGAAAAGATTCCTCCTCAGCTGTGTGAGGAAGTGGATTTAGCTGGGAACAGGCTCCTCATGGAGCTGCCAGGATTTCTGTTGGGGAACAGGGATGAAGGGCTGCTCCCTGTGGAGAGAAAAGGCTCTGGAGAAGGTTTGTGGCAGCAGCAGCTCAGCAGATGCTCGATGGCACCTGCACTGAGGATGCCACAACTGCCAAGAGCTTTTCCCCCAAGGATTTGCTTCCTGACAGGCCAGGAACACCCCCAGCAAGAAATCCCACTCCAGGATATAAGGCAGGAAGGGTTTTTTTAATAAAAAAATCCAGCCCAGGGTCCTCAAGGAGCTGATTCCCGAGAGTCACACGGGAACGGGAATGTGAGCCATAGGATTTCCCAGCAGCTGTGTCCTGGCAAACAGGAAAACTGAGGCAGGAGAGAACAAATCCACTGTTCCCCTTGAGTGACCTCGCTGGGCACAGCTCACAGGTGGGAATTCACTCCCTTTTTGGCTGGAATTGCCCCAGAGTGGCCCAGCCCCCCTGGGACTGAGCCTGGAGCCACGCTGGGCCTCGGGATGCTCATCCCCCCCTGCTCCAGGGGTGCTTCCACAGTTTGGGCTGAATCTCAGGGGTTTGGCCATTCCAGCTGCATCCTTTGCAGCTCCTAAGGCTGCTCCAGGAACCAGCCAAGGAAAGGCCAGCACTTGGAAAAGACCTTTCCACAGGGGTGTGGGCTGTTGGTGCCCCAAAATTACGCAAAAAAGAGTAACTTTGGGCAGTGCTCCTGTTTTTAACCTTCTTCCTGTTAAACTCTGGGCAAAGTGGGAAATGCCTGGAATCTGAGCAATGCTTCCAGGTGTGCAGAGTCCACAAATGAGCCACCACCCCACACAACTGCCAAAGGCATCCTGGCTCCACGTTTTCCAGAAGAAACGAGTTCCCCCCGTGCGGTTAAATCCCAGCGGATTTACCTGTGGTCTCTCCTTAAACTCCTTGTTTTTTAAATGAAGCTTGTGATTGAAGTGTCAGAATCACAACAGGAATCACCCAGCGCATTCAAACAAAGGGAAGCAGAGGGTTTTGTTTGGATCCTCGTCCAACTTTCCCTCCTTATTTGCTGTATCATCCACATGCAGCATTAAAATATGCCCCCGAGGCTTTGGCAGGAGGCAGAGTGCAGGATCTGTGGCTCAGGGCTGCTCTTTCAGGAAGTGTGAATATGCATTAATGTAGGTTTGATAGCCCACTGATCCCCTGCAGAGCTGCAGGAACCAGGCACGGGGCTGTTCCAGCTGGGAGCAGCAGCTCTGGGAATGCTCAGGACAGAGCAAGAGGCCAACATAGAGCCAACGTTAGACATGGGACACTGGGAATGGGGCTGGGATGCAAAGCCACCACTGGGAGCATCCCGGTGCAGCAAATGGAGGGGCTCTGTCCTGGGCTTTGGGGTGGAAGGGACCTCAAAGCTCATCCATTCCCATGCCCTGCCATGGGTGGAAGCTCCCACTATCCCAGGTGGCTCCAGGCCCCATCCAACCTGGCCCTGGACAGCTCCAGGGCAGGGGGTTCACACCCTCCATGGGTTTCACGCCCCAAAAGGGGCTGAGGGTTCAGTTCTGCACCGTCCCACTGCCCTGAGCACAGCCAGGACCCGAGGGCTGGGGGGCTGTGCTGGGATTCTCCAGGAGTCAGATCCCAGAGTTTGAGGGGAAAGCAAGAGCTGAGGCTCAGCCAGAGGCAGGCCCCCAACCCTGTCCCCGCAGTCCCAACCCCTGCCCTGCCCACCTTTGATCAGCCGGTACCACTGCTTGCACACCAGGGCGGCGGTTTTGTGCTCCTGGTAGGGAGACAGGAAGGACAGGATGTATTCCAGCACCTCCTCCGGCAGCTCCAGCATGGATCGGCTGTGCCTGCTCTCCTCCAGCTCCAGCTCGGCCTGGGGCTCCTCCTCCTGCTCCATCGTCCCCTCGGCCGCGGCGTCCTCGGCGTCCACGGCCATGAACCCATCGTCCTCACTGTCCGAGGAGCTGGCCATGGCATCCCACTCCACTGCTGGAACGGGGAAAACGGGACAAAGGGGGGTCACAGGAGAACTGGGAGCACCAGGAATACACCTGCGAGGGTTCACATTCACACCACAGGTCTCAGTCAAGCTCTGCCACCACAAACACCCGGGGCAGGACGGGGGTGCAGAGCCTGGGAGGGGGGAGATGGGTTGGGAACTCCGGGGTGTGCAAAGCTTTGGAGATGGGTTGGGAACTCTGGGGTTTCCAAAGCTTTGGAGATGGGTTGGGAACTCCGGGGTGTGCAAAGCTTTGGAGATGGGTTGGGAACTCTGGGGTGTGCAAAGCTTTGGAGATGGGTAGGGAACTCCGGGGTTTCCAAAGCTTTGGAGATAGTTTAGGAACTCCTGGGTTTGCAAAGCTTTGGAGAAGGTTGGGGAGAGGGTTTAGGAACATGTGGGTTTGCAAAACTTTGGAGATGATTTAGGAACTCCTGGGTTTGCAAAGCTTTGGAGAGGTGGGAGATGGTTTAGGAACAGTGACCTTCCCACCCCTGGGAAAGCAGTTTTGCCACCGAGCCTGTTTTACCCCAAACTTCCCAGGGGATAATTCCCAGTCCCATTTTCCTTCAACACCCCCCTTTCCCTTGGCTTTTTTTGCACACAGTTCCTGCTGGCAGCAGGTGAGGACAGCAAATCCCCGGGATTTATGGAAGGCTGGGGGATCAAAGGTTGTGCCTCCAGCTCTCCAGGACATCTCAAGTGTAAGGTAACGGATTGATGACAGAAACACCTCATCCCATAAATCCACCTTAACCAGGGGCACGTGGCACAGGTTGGGCCTAAATCCATGGCTGGAAAACAAATCCCTTGACCTTATTTCCCAGGAAGCTGCCAACCCGTTTTGGCTCCTTGGCAATAAATAAATAAATATTCTGATATACAAATATCCTGATAAATTAACCACATCAAACCATACAAATGTGATTTATAAACGTGGGTTATTTATCAGGATAAATATAAATACGGGATGCAGACCCACGTGCTCCACGGGATAAATCCCACCAGCAGCAAGCCCAGGAATCAGTCCCACTCCTCGAGAGGGAAGACAAGACACAGCTTTTCCCCAACATACTTCAAGACAAGAACATTATTATCATTTTTACCAAACTCTCACTATCACAGAAAATCCTGGAAGGAACTTCAGTTATTCAGTGTCATGGTTTATTTATCAGGATAAATATCCTGACACTAAAATATCCTGATAAATAAACCTCATTAACTCCATAAATGTGGATTACGAACCTGATTTATAAATGTGGTTTATAACCCTGATTTATAAACATGATTTATCAGGATACTTATCCTGATAAATAGATCTCATTAAATCCCATAAACGTGGATTATGAACCTGATTTATAAATGTGGCCTATAAATGAAATTTATCAGGATAAATATCCCGATATCTAAATATCCTGATAAATAAAACCCACGAAACCCCATAAACATGGATTACAAACCTGATTAAAACCATGTTTATTTATCAGGAACCACCTAAGCTGTTGTTACAACCTTCCAGCCACATCCAGGGTTTTCCCATCCCGGCACAGCCGGAGTGGAGGAGCCATGGGAATGGCAGACAGAGTGGGAAAGCTTCCCATGCCAACTAATTCCAGGAAAATGCCATGTGACAGCACCAGCCACCACTTCTGTCAGGTTCCCTGAGGAAGCAGCTCTGGAAAACCCACGGGGCTGCCACTCTTTGGGAACAGCCACGGCAGGATCCCGCTCCGAGCTCCCATCCCGGCGGCTGCTCCGCGTTCTCCCGTGCCAGGAATCCCCCTGGAGCCCACGTGGTGACAGGGAGAGGCTGGAACCAAACACTCTGACATGGGAGCTGCTGCCAGGAAACCTCCTTACGCAGCACATTCCCAGGCGCTGAGGAATGGAAAACGGGGAAAAACAAAAGGGAACTGGAGCTGGGCTAAAAAAGAATGGAAAACCAGCGGGTTGGGGCTTTTCCAAGCAAAAGCACCCCCGGGTGTGCTGCTCTCCAGCCTGGGAATGGCCTCGGGATGGAGGCTGGCTGCGGCCAGCAAGGCTGGAGGCAGGTGGTCATTCCCTATCCGGAATTTCCCAGCCTGGGAAAACAGGGCAGCACAGTCCCCCAGGAGGTGCTTCCCACCCCAAAACCACCCCAGATCCTGGGCAGCAGGGGTTTGCTCCAGCTCAGGGACAATGGGATTCTGGGATGACGATGCCAAGTGGGTTGTTAACACCATGTGTGATCCCGACAGCTTTTATCTGTCCCTTAAATCCTTATCCCATTCCTGCTGGAGAAGTGCAGGAATGAACACCCACTGGAAAGAGGGCTTTTCCAACTATTAACTCCCAATTCCAACCCTCTGGAGCCGGCTCGGGAACAACACAGCACAGCAGGCTGGTCACAGGCACGGAACAACTCGGAAAAGCATCTCCCAGGCTGATTTTAGCTAATTGAGCTGATTTTGGGAGGAGCATGGAAACCCCTCAATCCCTGGAGCAGCAGATCCATGGATGGGGAAGCTCCACTGAGCTCTGTCAGCTCTTACCAAGCTCATAAATATTCCAAAGCACCCACTCTGCTGAATCCTCATTTCCTAAATGTCTGAGCACAGGGAATGACCATTCCTGGAGTCTTCACACCCCCACTGGTGTTTTCCTTAAGGGAAACAAGACCAGCAATAAACTCAGCTGCCAAAAGGCAACTTGCTGCCAAAATAACCCTTCGGGCTCGACCTGGCCCGGAGGCACGTTTTGGTTGGAATGGGCTGGGAATAACCAGCCCTGGATTGCCAAGTCCCACAACCCTGCTCCAATACAGGAAAAGGAAAAGGAATCCCAGTAGGAAAGAGCTCAAGCCTCCCAGCCAGCTCCCGTTCAGCACACCCATGGCAGAAAATCCCCCTCCTGTGCTGAGTTCTCCCAAGAGCAGAGCTGTGCTCCTGCGTTTCGGGGGGATGCCGGAGGTGCTCTCCCCCTGCTCCAGGTTGGAAGTGAATCTCTGAGCACTCAGAAAGCTGCAATAAAGGGATTGCAGCAGTTGTGCCTCATCTAAAAGTACCTGCAATCCAGGTAATTCTGGGATGGATCCCAGAGCCCTGCACTCGGATTGATCGCTGCCAAGCCCAATACAACCCCCCCAGACATCCCGTTCTGCACCCTGCTCCTGGAGGAATGCCGTCAGATTCCAGCAGGAGAACATTTCAGGAATCAGCCTAAAGTCAGAGCAAGGAGGAATTGCTTCAAATAACCCGTCAGGAAAAGCTGGAAGGGCAATGGAACGGAGCCGTGCCGGCACTGCTGGAATTTGCCTGCCCCCTCCTAAAAGCTGCCTCTCTGCCAGCTGGCAAAACATTCCATAAACCTTTTCCTCCTTCCAGAGCACTTCAATTTTCCCTCTCCCCCCTCCTGAAATTAGTTAAGAACCTGCTGTTTATTCCACTTAATAATTACCCGGAACAAACAGCCGAGGAATATTAAATGCAGGCAAAAATCACCCCACTGGGTTGAAGCCAAACCTGCTCCTGCAAATCCCCTCCTGATCCCAGAAGGTTTTCCTACCTGCAGGCAGCATTCCCGGCCCCATGGACCCCGGATCTCAGGCGTGGGTGGCACCGGGGGTTCCCATCCCGAGCTGCCTCCTCTTCTCCCAACTTCCAGCTGCTTTAGGAAGTGTCAGAACCCGCAGGGCTTTTGACCTTCCCTTTTTTTTTTACCGGCAACAGGATTTTAAGGGAAAAAAAAACAAAGGGAAAAAAGGCCTCCAAGGGAAAGTTGTTGAATGAAAATAAGGGGCTGAGCCAGAGCCCTGAGTCAGAGCTCGTTTCCACACACCACAAAAAGTCCTCTCTCCAAACACCGGCGGAGGAGCCGCGTCCTCACCTGGGAAAAAACATTCCAGGGGTGGGGAAGGACAACCCTGGCTGGGCTGGGACAGAAAGGGCTTGAATTGCACTTGGCAATCAGGAGCTCCATGGGAATTCAGGTCTCCAGCCTGCTCCAGACTCTCCCTCATCCTTTGGAGCTGCTCATCCCACGTGCCAGCAGCTCCCTGGGAGCACCGGGGGACACTGAGACCTTCCAGGCTGATTCTCTTCCCCAGGTTAAATTAAAACCCTCTTCCACCAGGCAGACGTGTTAGATTGTAAGGTTGTGTTCCTTGAGGAAATTCCTATGGCAAGGTAAAGTTCCTGCCTGGGAAGGGTGATTTTCCCTGGAATTTCAGTGCCGCCCCAGCAGTGCCATCACGGATTCCAAGGGCAGCTTTCCCTGCTCCCGCTGGTTCTGTCCTACAGGACCTGAGACCTTTTTTAGGGAGAGAAGAGGAAAATCCAGCACTGTTTCCTAGGAGAAGCACGGTATTTTACACAGGCAACAGCACAGGGAGTGAAAGACCCGTGGGAACTGTGGGATTTGGGATATCATCACTGAATACGATGATATTTCCAGTCCCAAAACTTGCAGCAGACGAGAAGATCCTTTGGAAAATCAAAAGGAAAACAAAGCAGATTTTAGTCAAAAAAAGAAAACAAAGCCTCTGGGAATGTCTGGGATGAGCAATATCCTGTCTGAGCTGCTGGAGAATCACCCAGAGGAGTGAGACCTCCGGAATACCAGTCCTTGGGAATACCAGCCCTCGGAAAACCAGCACACGGGGTCTCCTTATCCCTGCAAACCAGGCAATTCCAAGCCCCTGGAAAAAGAGCTTTTCCCTTTTTTTTTTTACCCTTTTCAACAGGAAATTGGTCTTTTTTTCCCCTGTCATATAAATCCTTGCTTCACCCAGGAAAAATAAGGACACTGAAATTCCATTCCCAAGGTTGAAAATTCCAATATTTCTCTCCCAGTACCAACTCCCTGTGTGTTAAAACAGCGTTTTTAGAGGCTCCAGAGACAAATTCCAAAGGCCACGACTTCATTTTACACTGGAACAGCAGCATTGCAGCTGGATTTTGATTGGTAATAAAAAGGTATAAAATTCCCAGGAATTCCTCCCTCCCCAGGGATG